GACATTATCGGACATGCACTATGGAAGCCATTCTGAAGCAGCCAGGGGGGGGGGGATTCTGCATGAGCCAAATATCAGAGACAGGACCAATTGTCAAAATTTTGGTGTCGATCATTCGATTTCATCCTGGACACTACAGAAAATGGGCTAAAAGTGTTAAAAACCGGAATTCTACTTTAAATATGACTCCGTAAAATGCATGATCCTGTCAAGTTTGATGGATGTTCAAACTGAACTTACACGGAATGGATGGACCTCAGCAACATTCTGTACTCCTCAGCAGTTATTGGGGAGATTTCATTCCAACATGTGCTGATCACAAATCACAGTGGACTGTATTATAGTTCACCAGAGTAAAAGTTCTGATCACTCAGATGTTCAATGTTGCAGCCAACAATCTAATGAGCATTAAAGGTAAGAATTCAAAATCAACCGTAATAAATGTAATTATTTTAGTTATTTAAAAATAAGCTTAGCATATTTTTGTGTGGACACTGATCGTAGTTTGTCTTCTAAATGTAAGAAGAGGAGTAGTCTAGGTGGTTATGAATCCATCTGCAAACATGATAGTACCGGTATGTGATGTGTCCATGACCCTCACTGGGTCTGATGTATGTAGTGGCTGGGTCGGAGTTGTTTATGGAGAACAACTATGGTCAGATTTTGTTGAATTGTAGCATTTTGACTTGTAGTGTTGAATTAAGTTGTACTGAAGTGTGTTCATGTTCACACAGTAAATATAACATAAATAAATAGGGCGGATTTTGTGTGCTGTGGTGATTTTTAACAGATGTTTGGGCTGGAAAACCTGGACTCTATGTGGAAACACTGACAGACCTGTCGAGCCATGATATCTTATTAACATAATTTACAAGGTTAAACAATAAAAACGGCCCACGCCCACCTAGCATAGTTGATGTTGTCATTCAGTATTACCAACATCTTTTGCTAAGAGATGCACCTTCCCTTTCACTGACAGCATCTTGTCCAACGGGGAAGGGCATAAACATACATAAGAGTAAACCCTGCATAGACAGCTTTCCCCTTTGGGGCTGACATGATTTGGTGGCACCATCTTGGGGCGGTCAACAGTTCCGCTCAATGTAAAGTGCTTGTCACTATCTGATCCGTGCCGGTAGCACGATCCAAACCATCAGCTCATTCGCGCATGCAAAAGTAGATATACATCCAGGTTTCCCTCAATTTTAATTTGTAAAAAATACCTAAATTACGTTTTTCTTTTCTTAAAAATAGTAAGCGTTCTAAACTATGATGTGTTAAATGTTAATTCTGTATTTCCTGAGAAAATAAATGCATTAAAATCCTTTCAGTTTTGTGACTTGTCTGGGAATGATCTGTCCTGGAAATGGCATCCAATGCTATTTCCGGGAGCTAACTTTGGATTTAAAAAATATATTTGGTCTATTTAAGTTGAATGTTTTCCATTTGTGTAAGTAAATTTCTCCACTGTGAGATCAATCAAACAACACTATGTAGTATATAGTGCATAATCTAAAGAAAAAAAGAACTAAAATGCAGATAAACATGGTTTAGTCATATTTTACTAGACTACTCTGACCATGTCCGATGGTGACGTCAACTGTTGGCTAATTCTAATCCACCTGAAATTAGGAAATTAAAATGTTGTTTGTCTAGCTTTGTTCATATAACCAATCTGTGCAAATTCTAAAGGCAAATCATTTAAAGTGAACTTGTAAATGTAATCTAATATGTGAAAAATATTAACCTCAGCATGAACCACCCTTCCTTGCCTCTGATTATAATATATGATTATAATAATTAAGCTATTAGAAGGCTAAAACAAGATAAGGGTGCTGGCACACATGGTTTTACTTGTGATTAGAACAAGGGAGCAAGTAACTTCTAGATTGAATGCAGTATATAACTGAGTTTTCAAAGGAGCTGAGGTTCCCTTGTCATAGAGAAAAGCTACCATTACTGTAATTTCAAAAGGGAAAGAAGACAAATTGACCTGTTGCCAGTATCACCTAATATCAATCTTAAATCTCAACTAAAGATTTACCAATAGTTAAATGACTTAATAATTTCATACCCAAGCTGGTTTATCTGGATTAAACTTATTTGATCTGCCAAAGTCAGACTTGAAGCAATATTAGAAGGACTCTCTGTGCCATACGTGATATAAAAAGCAGTTTTGCTCATAAAACTGCTGTGAAACCTCTCTTCTCTGCTCTTCAACCCCCTTTCAGCACACTGGCTACACCGGACCCCTCCTGTGAGGTGTGCCTTGGCCCCCCGCAGAACTGGGAACATATAAAAACCACAGCACAGAGGATTTCTCTTTCTTTTCCGTAAAGCTGCCCGGGGATTCACATTGGAAGAGGAAACCACCATGGAGACCCAGGCTAAAGGCCCAGATCTCCACGATGAACAAGGCCTCAGGGCTGGTTATACTCCTGCAGCAATGTGTCGCAGTGAGCTTGTCGCAGGTATGATGCAGACATCTTTGATTTATGCTCAATTTTGAAGCGTGGTCTCCGCTATCTTATTCCACGCCACAACGCAAGAGGGACAATCACCAACTAGCTGTGGGTCTAGATACGACTGAGGCAGTGAGGAAGTGGAGGCAAGTTTGTCTGACAATGTATGATCCAAGAGTTTAAGAATGGACATCAAAAGGACCTGCTTCCTATTTCGCATTGAATCATTAAGGGCTGATGGCTGATTTTCAAACTCTTAAGATAAAATACGGGTTAAATAATCTGAATATTTTTAAAATGAAAAACCAATATAAGAATCAGTACAGATAAATCCTCAAGAAATTAAATGCAGAATTTTACATTGCTTTTAAACGGCCTACAACACTAATATCACTGTGATGAAAACTGTAGCAATTTTGTATCAAGGCTTTCAACAAACCAAATCCATGACAAAAATCGGAATAAAGACATCGGCTCAGCGATAGATGATAAAGATTAGGAATAATTATGTAATAAACAGTGGAAAACCAACTGTTTAACTGGACAGGGTTTGGTTAGAAATGTATAATTAATGTTTTCTTTAGCCCAACCCAAAATAAACACCAGAATATCAGAACCGGCTGCTGGAGATTATGTGACAGTCTGGAGCCTAATAACTATCAGCTATTCTGGGCCATTTCATTATTTTGGAAAAGGTGTTCTGTACTCCTTTTCGTTTCAATTTATTATATTAGTTCCTAAGCCTTGAAATCACAAACATGACTTCTCAAGCAAACAAATGAATAATGAGAATTATTTCAGTCTCAACTAAGAAAACCTTGAAATGAAGATTCCTGAAAATAGACATACAAAGAAAGGTTTATAGTACTAATTAACAAATATTTGTGATGGATAGACTTGTTATCTCTTTGATATTTTAGAGAGATTAATTTAACATTTTTTTATTTAAATGGATGCAATATATCCCAGGTTCAAAAGGGAACTTGTTGAGCACTTTAAATCAGGGTCACCAACATTTTTAAGGCTTAGAGCTACTTTTTGGGTACTGGGTCATTGGAAGGGCTACCAATACTGACCTTTGAACAGCAGGGGTCAGCTTTCACCTACATTTTAAAGATGATAATACAAATATTTTAATTTATTCATTTCATTTCTAGTTTTCTTTTAGATATTGTAATTTTGAATCTCTATAAATGCAGGTGTCATTAAAAAAGAAAAATAAATTCAAACTTAGCACAGTGGTGAGTTGTGCTTTTTTCAGAAAATACTGAGGGGACCTATGGTGGTCCTTGAGGGCCCCTTGGTGGCACTGCATGGTGGCCCTTATACATTAATCAGTTGTCAGCAGTAAAATGGTTTGATCAATATTAGATGACTTCACTACTTGTAGTGACTATTTTTGCCCCTGCCTGTAAAGCTACAGTCTGCTTTCTCATGACTCTCTGTTCCCTCTGCTGCAGTGGCAACTGGTCTGAGGAGTTACACCTGCAGCAGCTCCAATTACTGGAAGTTGCTGCACCTGGGAGGAGCACCATGGGCTCTCCCAGTGGGTAACCGCCAGATTCTTGAAAGCTCTATTGTGGGTGCAGACTCTGGACTGACTATGACTGCTGCATTAGCCTTAGCCTTGCCTAGTGCTGTCAACTTGTAGATCAGTCAATCATTGATCTGAATTATTCAAATTGAGCCTAGAGACTAATGCTGCGTTCACACCAAAAGCAGCAGAGGCAGCAGGAGCAGCTAGTTCACATGCAAAGTCAACGGTTGACGTGCGTCAAGGCGCAGCAAAACGTCCAGCCGCGCGTCTGAGCAGCTGAAGCAGCGTGTCAGGAGTGTTTAAGCGTCTGATACACGCGACGCGGCACCAACGCAGCTGCTGCTTGAGATGGAAGAATGTATCTTTTGCTGCTCAACTCACCACATCAACCAATCAGAGAAGCTGATCTGGGAGCTGGCAGGGAGACAGACACATTGCTGATGATACAGCGCGCTATGATCACTCTTCTGAAACAGTTTTTTTAATGCCTAAATTAACTTAAAATGCTGAAACATGCTGCAAAACATGTTCACTTTTATTATCCTGGTGCCTCCAGTTTGGATTACATACATGAATCCCATTCAACAGCAGTCTCTGGCTGCTATTGAATGGGATTCCTACTGTTAGTGCACCGCCGGTGTGTGGGGGTCAAAGTGGATCCGACAGAAATAATATTTGAAGGCAGGATGGTAATCTGGATGAACTGGCTGCACTGTTGAAGTTTTAAGGTGGACTTTCCCACTTAAAAAAATATTAAAACTACTTTATTCCTACTGATCACAGCAAATATAGCTGACAGGCAAAGAAAGGATACGGTAGCTCCTGCTGCGCGTCAGAACTAAACTTGTACAAGCATCAAAAATTAAGCAGCAGACGTGTTTTTGCTGCTCCTGCTGCGTTTGGTGTGAACGTAGCATTAGGATAGATCATCAGAGCCAGCACAGCCTCTCGGCTTCTTATAAGGTTGTTGGCTTTCATTCTGAGCACCTTTAGCATAACTGAGTTGTTCTTGGGCACTAATCCTGTTCTCCTCCACAGTGAATCCAGTGATTTTTGTTCCTGACACACATATTCATCTTAAAATAAATTCTTTGAACACTTTCTATTTCTGTTTGCTGAATTACAGGGTCTCCATTCTGTTCAAGCATTGCAGTCACTCAATTGCTATCTTGCCAGGTCCCTCTTGTAAGGTAAGGGAATTGTCATCCACTGTGACCTAAACTTTGAAGTAGTTCTTGTTTAAGCTGATCTTGCACAGCACTGGGGGGGGTGGGGGGGGAATCATACAAAATTAATTGCACAGTTATTTTCTTCTCCCTGGAAGCTGTGTTTACAGAAAAAAACATTTAAAGTGAAACTAATTTTAGAACAATTTTATCTTTAATAAACATACTGTGGTGAGAAAACAACAGTACATAGATTATGAATTCAAGTATGATCTGCTGAGAAGGAAAACAGAGAAAATAGAAATCATTATCTTACCTTCAGCATATCCACAGCAGAGTGTGCAAATCACTACAAAGAGAAACAAACAATTAATGACTAGAATAATCTGTTGGTTGTTCAAATAGAAGAATGAGAAAACTGTCAATAAGAATGAAATAAATTAACAGAGAAATCAGGTTTACATTGAACCCTTATCAGCTGGACAAATCATTTTTCTCTACAAGAATATAAAAAGTAAAATTGGTTGTGAGCTTCAAACACTGGTCTGTGGCAGGGCCGTGCAGAAACCACTGAAAGGGGCTTAAAGAAAAACGGGTACATATTTAATCAGATTCTGGGCAGAAGATTTGCCAGAATCTCAAGCAGATTTAGAAGTTCAGTGTACTGAGGTTTGTTAAAAAATAGTAAGCATGGAGATATTTCATTGAATCAAACTTGTGGGAAACTATAACATAGAACACACTACCATACAAACGGGGGAGTTCAATACTTTAAAGCAGACAGAATTTAATTTGTTCTTTTCATTATAGAGAAATACTGAGAAATACTGAGAAAAGTTCAAACCTGCAAATGACCAAAAAATAAATTAGAGATCTAGACCAACAGACGTATTTTGTTTTTACTCCATTACACTTTTGAAATATGAATAGAGGGAAATCGCCCAGCTTGCTGCAGATTTGCCTGCTGTGTTTAAAAGTAGCTAGCAGCAGCGACACAGAATGAAACAGCTCATTGGCTAATTTATATCATGTGCAGCCTGGTCCCGGATGTACCGTACCCCTGCTGTAGACTATCCTCCATTGCAGTCAGGGCCATAAATACCATTGAGGACACCTAGGTCATGTCTTCGGTATTTGCTAGATTTAATTATATTTTTCCTTAAATTATGATAAAATAAAAATAGATTACACTGAAAATGACTCAAGGTAGATGACATAGGTCTCCCACAAAACTACAAGGTGTTTTATATTTGCAGAGCCGTTAATAGTGTGACTGGTTAATAAAACAGTCACTCGAGGGTTTGGGCATATGTGCTTCGCTTTAACATGCACTGTCACTATGGTAACTGCCACAAACAGGTTCATGGCCATTACTGGAATAGGAGCACATCAAGCTACACATGAAGGTGGAGAACAGTTAAAGTTGTAGATGATAGTGAGATATTTTATATTTTGAAGCAAGATGTCACAGAGTGTGAGAGGAAGTCGTGTACAAAAACAAAATAAAACATCCGCTTAATGTTTTTCATAATTATAATAACTTTTTCTGTGGTAAGCATCCCTTACATAAAGAGTCACCACGGTAGTTCAAAAAGCCTCAGAATGCCTTATTTTTATTTACATTACTGTTGTAATGTTCAAGAATTCCATATATATTTTTTATTTTATATACTTTCTTAAATATGCATTTTTTATGTTGCTCATTTAACATTTATATTTCAACTTCTTTGTATCTATTTTTACTATTTCATACTTTGACATTAGGCTGCTCTGGAACCTGCAAAACTAATTTTGTTTCATGTTAACGTGTTG